TAAAAAAACCTAACACCAAGCTGTTTTTAATATAATCTGATCTAGAAATAAGGTATTCAGTTTAGCTGTATGATATTGTTAGTCCTCATTCATTTTCCACTAAAAATTTAGAGCTTACTTTCCCACAATTCTTTCAATCTCAAGACTCAAGATCTTAATCTCGGTTTCTTTTCATTTCACCAAGATTAGAGGATAATTGGTATTTAGAGTAACACCTTAATTTGCAACCATTTTAGTTGTGTTTCATCATTTAATTTTGAACTTTTCTTTTGTTTTGTTTTTTTCTAGGATAGTAGAAAGATAATCTAATCTTTATAAGATCTTGAACTTGCTTGCATTCTTTTCACATAACCCTTGCCTAGAGAAGACATGCTTGCATAGAAATGTGGAATCACCAGGGAATAATCTCATCATTTTACAAACAAAGTCAGTTAAAACAATATGAAACGATAAACTTCTACTGATTTAAAAGCTTATATGTCTGATGAAAAAGTTGGGAAAAATTATTCAAAAAATGTATTTCACTTAAAAACTATTTCCAGAATATTGCAACCCAAAGAAAAAAAACTAATCAAAATGGATATTAAAAACATGTTGTCCCGTAAATGTTAATCTGTGCTGATTTCTGTAGTTATTCAGCCTCTGTATTTGAAAGATTATTTTAATTTATTGCTTCTGTGTTCAGCACTTTGGCCTACAGCAGATTTTCTTGAAGGTTCTTGATAAACCCACAGCATTTGATGTGAAAATCAGATGCCCCCTACTGGTTATAGGATACAATGCAGGTTTGGTCAACAATGTAGAATGGTTCTGTAACAATCTAAACCAAAGAAAAATGCTGAATTCTTACAGCAGTAATAATCAGTATGGAGTGAAAATATAAATTTGTAAAATTTTTTAGTTGCCTACTTATTAAACAAAGTTTTGATTTTAGGATCTAGTATATGTCATATATGAAACATATTTAACTATAAGAAGTCCAAATTACTGCGAAAATAAAGTGTCAATGCTGTATGCTAAACGTTAATCTGTAAGGTTGAAAAAAAAAAAAGACAGAAACAAAGATAAATTTAAGCAAAACTGGATGAAATGCTGCGAAATAATAGAAAACAGAACTGCTTAATTTCTTTCCTGAAAAGTAGCAGAAGCAAGCTGAAATCACATACAAAAACATGGCTGAAATGCAATGAATTAGAAAGAAACAGAAAAAGCTTAATGCATTTCCTGAAAGATGGAGCATTATAGCCAAAGTTAACAATATAAAACCCACTGATATCTAATAAATGAGCAAAAACAGCAGGAAAAAAATAGTATGCAGAAATTGGAATCATATTTGGTTAAAGAAAACATCTAGTGGCTTAAAGATAGGGACTGAAATATTGAAAAATATGGTATTGATTAAGGAGCTAAGTATGAAATTGTTTGTTGAAATGTCATGAATTTCCCTAACTGTTGGAATTAAATGCAAAAGTCTCAGTTGATCAAAATATAGAAAAAAGTTTAAGCTAAAAAACTTGAAACACCAAAGCCAAAATTCCTACATATAAGGCAGGTCATGAGAAGCAGAGGAAGGGCAGAGAGAGGGAGGCTTAGCGTCAATGCCACTTCACAAGCTGAAGTTATCCTAAAACTACAATTTTTTTTAAAATAACCATTGAAATATTGAAAATCAAAGAGACTTAAGAAATACAAGGAATTAAAAAGCATACAGAAGGAGAAAATATGGATGCGAATTTGATTAAATAATGAACGAAGTGTGGATATGCAAGAAAATTTGAAAAAAAAAAAAAAAAAGCAGGAAAGATCTGTTGTAAAAAAGCTGAAGACACAACACTTAGAAGAAAAACTGCATTAGAAATTTAAAGTGTTGACAAGTTAAAGAAGCTTAAAACAGCCAAGTAAATAACGCATCTCCATAAATGAAAAAAAAAAAAAAGTATTAGAAATCACAAAGTGGATTTGACGGATTCTAATCCTAGTGTAGAATAATACAGTCTAGGTTTGAGGAGTCTAGATGATGCAGCTTTCATGCTGGATCAGTCAGAACAGGAATTTAATGACATTTAAAAAGTCGTACAAAGGATCAGCAATTCAACACAAAGGTTTAAAAGTTCTTCTATTATAAAAAAAAAAAACCCAATACAGTCGAGGTTTGAAGAATCAAGATTTTTGAGTTTTTGACCCGGGCCGAGTTAAATGTTGACCAGATTGCAATAAAATCTGTAATAGATGTTTATTGATCTGTAAAAAAAATAAATAATGGGTTCACAACTCAAACACAGTTGAAATGTTCTTCGATTAGTACCGAGCAATATTCTAAATTTCAGGTTTGAAGAGTCTAAGTATTGAAGATTTTGAGCTAAACCAAATTGAGTGTGATCAAATTACAAAATATCCATAGGATAGTTTTTTTATTGACCTTTAGAAGTGTTTATAAACGGTTCACACATAAAATCTAACAAATATAAAGGTATATCGATGTAATTCTTACATTGTTTAATTCAGAAGGGATAGGGGGAGGATATTTAAGGGCAGTTTTTTTGTGTAAAATCTTTTTAAAAAGACACCACCCTGTGAAATAATTGCAAAATGTGGAAAAATCGGCAAAACTTTGTGTTGAACTATGATTAATAAATCAAAAATTCTAATAGATACAGAAATGATAAGAATAATCAGCAGACTTTGATGAATAATTATACCAACTTTCATATTTCTTTTAAATCTTATGTGGCAATAGTGACCGTATAAACAAGGGTTTCGTATTGAAAGATTTCAATTTGAAACTTTTTTGGTGATGCCCTAGCAGCTGGGCCATATTATGATATTTAATATTTAAAAAATATTCAATGCGAGTGCAAGAAAGGTCTGAAGACGTTGTGTGCCAAATCTCATGTTTGTACATGAAATTGGTTTTGGAGAGCCGGCGATTCAAATAAGTGTGTTGTTTAGGATTTTAAAGCCCCAAGTGTTTACTAAAATGAGATGCAGCTGCTGCAACATAATGTTTCCCATTACTGTCGCTGTTCTATTGCATAGGGGATCTTATACTGAACAAATGCTCATAACTGGCATAAAAAGGCATATCAATGTCATTCTTGCAGCAGAGGATAAAGAGTAACAAGATCTCAGTAGATCTCAAACCCTGCTTTACCGTAGTGATGGGTTCAGCAACACTGATGCATCAGTGAATGCACCGTGCCATAGAGCAAAACACTATTGGTGTGACCAATACAGGAGATGTTTCTAACACTTAATTGTCTTTCAAAAGGTATCTGTCAAGAGTATGATTCTGCTAAAAAAAAAAAAAAAAATTTGCAGTTTATCATTAAAATTATTAAAAGGAGTAAGAAAGTTTCAGCTGTTAGATTTTTATTTAAATTTTCTCGTTGTGTTATACTTTTCCTCTCAGTTATAACACAACTGACCTGAAATAATTAATTAGTTAATTTCAAATTCACTCTTAGTTTATTTAATTTTTTTAACTGTACTTCTTGCTATTAAACTGATTAAAAAACCTAGTCCACAAACATCCTCATTCACATTTTCCACTAAATGTTCTCATATGTTTACATTATTTATTGGCTGCATCTAAAACTATCATAGATATTTCCAATTTAAACATAGACATTAAATATTACAATATAACCTACAACAACTTCAAACCTACATACTAACCTCAAATCAATTAAGTCTGTAAAATAAGCAGCCTGTATTGTCTTTAAAGGTCCAACAGATGCCAGTAGTCTGTAAGACAGTATAAATGCAGTATCAATAGTTGATACTGTGTTGAAACGCATCAAGATGCTTGATTAACCCATCACTAATTTACAGAATTCACACAATTAATATTCAGATCCTCTCCAGCAATGCAATATTTACCTGACCATTTGCGAAGAAGAAGGCGAAGAAAAAACTACTGACACTGGGCAAGGTCAGTGACTTTTGAGAATTCACACTGTTTTTAAAATTGGATATATTTAAAAGAGCAAAAAGTTTTATGAACAAATTGTTTAAACAGCACTAAGTTGCTACCACTAGGTGGCAGTAACGGGCCAAATTAATCACAGCAACATCAACAGGAGACATCCTGAGCAGCCAAGCGTCATTATCTATGATATCTATATGATAAAATTTAAATGTCAAAAACAGATTTTAGATGCACCGCTTTGTCTTTTCAACTAATTTCTAAAAACTCTTTGGGATTATATTAGGTCACATAAAGAAACACGATTTAATATTGCATTATTTTTGTATTTGTACAACTGACCCTGACAATCTTTTGCTTGAATGTCAGGCTCAAGACCTCACGTGTTAACAGATATATTATTCTGTGGGCAAGTGTCCTTGGTGGCTTTGCACCTGCACTAGTTTTAAATAAAATCATAAATGCAAAATTTAGACATTATCACTGCATGGTAACAATTCATTTAGACGTGTCACCAGTCTGCACAAAATAATTGTTTTGATATAAAGTGGATTAATCTTTTCTCCAATTTTTGTATCTTGGGATATTTCTTGAACACACTAGTCTTGAAAATTGCCTTAAGATGAACATTTCTAAACGGAGCTACATAAATGCAGAAAATTGACTACAGGTAACTTGGATGAAAAATGATAATTCTATATATGAAAGTTATAAAGAATCTTGATTTCACTTCATATTCTGAAATCTCACAACTCAATGACTTTTGGCCCTTTAATGGTATTAGGCTGCCATTAACATGCTTTTCCTTTTAGATTAGATTCCTTAAATATATATTTTTCTATGATACTAATATTGCAGCTTTAAGTATTGGCTGATACAAATATAGACCTGATACAGCATCAGCACAAATCCTACATACCTTTATTACACATTTCATAGTAGAAAATGCGTGATCAAGCTTTTTAGTCAGAAAAATAATCAACAGGTATGAGAAAGACTAACCTATTTGCTATTACCATAACCAATGGGTTATGTAAACTCTAGGAGTGTTTCCATCAGCTATTGGAGGCTGATATAGATTTCAAAATGCATTTTCTTTGGCCAATATCGGCATATTTCTGATGTCATCAGGACATCCCTATCTTTAACCCTAAGGTTCTCTACACTAAAATCTAATCTTTAAAACACCATATTTTTGTTGTCATTTTGCAAAAGACCCCTGATCTCACATTGTCGTCTGCAAAACCGTTATTTTTACTTCTATGGCATAAACACAATTTAAGACTTTATCAAGCTTAGAAAGACCGGCTCCCTGATAACCTATGAACAAAACCCATCCATCCCTGGAAGGTTTAAATTTCTTTTGTCTATAAAACACTAGCTGATGCTTGCATACTGAAAGTGACATAGCATGAGGATTCGGAGGTTGGGACACATCTTAGTGTTTAATACATCTAAAATTAAATGTTAACAGATTCACAATCTTTTGACAGCTTAGGAACCAAAAAACAGATTAGTTAAAACTACTAACTACAAATATGCCTTCATGTTATCCTTCAGATGGTGATTATGTTTTACTATAATCTGATTACCGACAACATCACAAGGTCTATACAAAGAGTTCAATAATAAATTCACAGCACTTTTAATCAGAAAGAAAAAGGAGAATTTGTTTCTCCTTACTTTAAAGAGCACATTTGCTTCTTAGAAACATCAGTGTCCAGAACTCTGTTCAACAGATCCATTTGGAAGGTCATTACCCAGTGACCGTTTGAAGGGAGATTTATAATCACAATAATAAATAAATAGCGACACTGGTAACCGATGGAGAAGAAACAACCAAATGATCCAACCTTCGTCTTCATCAAGAGTTTTTTTTCTGTTAGGAATGCTTGTTTTAAATCGACATTCTTTATACATTATTTGGCCATTAACACCATTATGTCCAAGTTGTTTTTAAGACACTTTTTATAGTCAAACAACCGTTGCAGTTCCATCAGCCGTTATACTGCTGCTGATATCGACGGTTCAGCTCGCGGAGCTCTTTCTCTCGCACCCTGCGAGCTTTGTTGGACTTGGTGGAGCGGCTGGAGCGCGTGGACTGGGCCGACTTGGTGCTCTGGCACCGTGAGGAGGCGCGCTTCAAGAGGTTCTGAGATATGCAGCGCTGCAGGTTCTTCATAGAGGAGGATGCTGCCATGCTGATGATCCAGGGGTGCTTGAGGGCCTGGCCGGCCGTCAGCCTCTCGCTGGGATCCACAGTCAGAATCCGCTCTACAAAGTCTTTGGCCAGGTTAGACACGCTGGGCCAGGGCTGCGAAAGGATGAGACAGGAAATGAAAGAAAAAAAAATTATAAAATATTATTTCAGTGACAGATGTTAATATTAAACCATGTGAAACTAACAAAAACTTCTCCACTTGACAAGTTCTGTAAAAAGCATGTTGAGAGATGAAAATTATGTGATTGTTTTAATAATAGATTGATCTATTAATTGTTTTAGCCCTAATTTTAATCATTAGGCAATAGTGATCAGTTAAAAAAAAATACGAGACTGCTCCATTTATGAGCAATAGTATAAATGAATGCAGTTTAATATACAGCAACTAACATAACAATGGTATATTAATGCTTTTAATGATGCCATAAATCTCTCCATTAGCTTGTGGGGAATATCTGTACTCAACCATCTATATTGGTGGTGAAGAGTCTGTATCTGGTATTATTTTTTCCGGATAAATGTAACGATTTTGACCTCTTGTGATAAGAAAACAAATCTTCCTCCAACTCGACTGCAGATCTGTTATCTGAACAGCAGATGGCGGCAGAACCCCAGAGCTCAGGATCTGCGTCAGTAAACCCTGAAGTCAAGACATTTTTGTGAGAGTCTGTGTTTAACTTTGATTGGATCCCCTCACATTGTCAGTTAGATTTTGATTCTTTACATGTCTCTGTGTGTTTGAGTTTCATTTTTCTCAAAACATTTAATCTGACAGTAACGATTGTTCTGTTGTAGTGAGATATAAACTCTATTCGGCACCAGTGACTGGTAGTGAGTCAAATCCAACCCCCTGCTTAGGCAGGAATCACATACCACAACATTCACACAGAGTTTGTTCACCTAGCCCTGTTTGGCCACCAGCTGTGTTTTCAGTCTCTCTCTCTGTACATGCAGCAGATAAATCACCAGGCCTGGCCAAACATATGCGACACGTATAAAACACATATATTTCTACCCTCCCACAGCTATGTCTCGTCTATGACTAGTTCCTGGACTGCAGCTGTAAATGCGAACATTATTTATCCCAGCTGTCGGGAGCCCAATCCCAAAGGGGAACACATTAAAGTCTTTTATATTGAAACTCCTACGCTCTGGCCCATATTTCTTAGAAATGTTCGAGTTGAGATTTTCTTTTCAGGACTGATAAATTCTTCATTTAAAGGGGAAAATATGTAGGATGTTGTAACTTACTCCGAGCAAAGCAAACACTATTAGCTTAGCCTAAAGCCAGAGTTGGTCAACTTTATGTTAGGTTTTTTTCCCCTCTTCTTTTATGCTCTGTCTTTCAAAATAAAAGACTAGAGATTAACAAAATCAGGCTTTTCTCGGCCGGTACAGATTTCCTGTTTTCTTCTGTGGCCTAACTTTCCAAACCTTTCTAAGCACATTAGCACCATCAGGATATATCGAGGTGATGCAGCTTCTTGCTCAGAAAAAAAAAACACACACAAAAACAAAGAAAATACAAGATTATGCTTGTTAACACATCAAAACCCTTCTCTCTTTATTTAACTCAATAAAGGCGCATCAGCTACAGTGTCGCAGGTTTCATATCTAAAGAAAGCTTTGGACCAACTACTTTTAACAAAGAAGGAAAATAAATAAATAAATAACACTGCAAGACAAACCTTTACAATTTCTGTAACCACCTGATTTGTGCATATCTAGTTTGGCCTTAAAACGGGATTATGGCAGTTAAAAACACAGCTCTCAGAGACATTATAAGAAAGGGGATTATGGTGAGTTCAGGTCTGAAATATAAGCAGTTATCTTTTAAATTTTTTTGCAAACCCCTGCAAAGCTAACAAATATTAGCCTGTCTAGATCTGGAGGTGTATTAAGGTCTCAAATTAGAATGTTTTTGAAATACTACTATCATTTCGTAAAAAATTAATCTTTAGAATTGCCAGATTTCTGGTTAAAAAATTTTTTCACTCAGTTTGGAGCATTTTATTACAAAAAAAGGGCTACACAGCTACTTTCTTAGTAAAAATGCCCGTCCAAATACCCCCCAAAAATTGGATTGACTCACACTTTCCCAGTCCAAAGCCATGAAAACATATCCTCCAAGAAGGGGCTTCAGGGATAAATATGTCAGGTTGGGACTCACTTAAACAATCAGGAACAACAAGTTAATCCCCAGAAAATTAAAATGACTCAACAGCTTCTCATTACATATTGCAAAACCGACAGTTGTTTGTACAGAACTGTCTACACGAGGGGCAAAGATTAACGGAGGGGCTTTCTGAGAAAGTTCAACAGAAGTATTATTATACTTTATAGAAGAGAACAGACTCATTGGCACTTTTTCAAGCTGTAGAGGATTATAAAGAATAAACAAAACAGAGGGAAAGGCTTCATCCAACTTTTTTTTTTAATTGGTCTTGATCAATAGCTCTTCAGGGACTCCAAATGTCTGCCAGTTTTCTTTTAGGGGGCGGGGGCGTCTCTGGCTGCTTTTTGACTTGTTCGATTCCAGCGCATGATCATTTTCAGGATGGTTTTTCAGAGGGACTTTGTTCTGACTTCAGAGTAATTCAGGGAGAAAAGCCTCCTTGACTCAAGGAAGTACAGTTTTAATGTGGAAGGAAATTGAGGCAGCATCTAAAAGAAAAAAAAAAAAAAACTGACAAAATAAGACTAAATATTCACAAATAGAAGCGCTTTGCTTTGGACTTAAATGTAACAAACCCCAATAAAAAGCAATGAAGCTTACCTAATGGCTGTAAAAGAAAGTGGTTTGTAACAAGCACCAAGGGAAATGATGGGCCATCAAATCTATTTTGTACAGTTCCCATGAGTAATCTTTCCTTTGCTACAGAGCAAATACTACACATTGATACAGTTAACAGTGCTTTGTTGAAATAATAATCAGAAGAGTAACAAGTTCAAATCAGGCCAGAATTGTAAGATCATGAGAAACATAAACAGGGTTACAAAAATGAAAATGTATAACCAGGAGTGGATGTTTTTAATTTGTGAAAATAGATGTTGGGATGAATGTTAAAAGATGTCTGCCGGCTTACCCCCAATTTGTAGATAAATACTTTTAATTTTGCACTGTGCTGATGCTTTCTGAGAGCACCTTAATAGAAACCTCTTCATTCTATTGAGGGATAAACACTAAGTGTGGGATTGGAGAGTAGAGTGGATAAGTTGTATAGTGAGCCTGTGTGGGAACTTTGTCAAGCTGCACTTCTTGTGTCAATCTGTTGATGATCCCTCCTGCAGAGTGCAGCATGCATTCCAAATATGGGGGAAGAAGAAGAAGGTTACAGATGTGGATTCTTACCTCTCCAGAGAAGCTGTACTTCCCCTTTAAGATCTGCCGGTAAAGCCTCATGCGGTTATCGTCCTCAAAAGGCATGGTTCCGCTCAGCAGGATGTACGAGATCACCCCCAGCGCCCACATATCCACAGCGTTCGTGTAGGGCTTCCTCACCAGGATCTCTGGGGCAATGTATTCTGGCGTACCGCATGTGGTCTTCATCAGACACTCGTCTCCTTTCTTCCTACTGCTAGCCAAACCAAAGTCAGTGATGATGATCTTGGAATCGGCTCCGGGGTGGTAGTACAGCAGATTCTCCGGCTTCAGGTCCCGGTGAGTGATCCCCAAAGCGTGGAGATACTTCACACCATCCAGCACCATTTGCAGGACCCGTGTGGCATCTCGTTCTGTAAAGGAGCCGCGAGCGATGATGCGGTCAAACAGTTCCCCTCCTGTGGCCAGCTCCATTACCATGTAGACGCGCTCTGCTGTCTCAAACACCTCCATCAGCTGGATTATGTTGGTGTGACGAACACGGCGCAGGACACACAGCTCTGACTCGCACACCTCCCTCCCCTCCCGGTAACGTGTTTCGATCATCTTGATGGCGTACGGCTGCCTTGAGCTCTTGTGCTCCACGCGAACAACTCTGCTAAAACTCCCGCGACCTATGAGGGCTTTTATCTCGTACTTCGCCGTGACTCGGGGGTCAAACTTAGCTCGATACTTTGCCACCTTCTTTCTCTGAGGGTCCGACAGTTTGGAGGGGTCCTTAGGGGTCTGAGCCAAAGCTGAAGTGGGAGACGCAGCTTGAGCTTGGCCTTGATACGTGCATGTAAGGTCGGGCTTTTCAGCTGACATGGCACCTGCCTCACCAGTCTTGCTTCCAGTGCCATCCCCTCGAATGAAGTGCTTGTAGATATCTGTCTGAGGAGGCTGTGGATCAACCTGAAGAATAAAGAACACAAAATCAAAACAACATTAACGATTTCTCTGGTGGCCTCCTGGGCACACACGCCATAAAATTAATGAAGGATTATTGGCTTTTGATGCTCGATATGCGCGTGTTAGGTTGTTGAAAATTTTCTACCACACAAAACTGACCAGCACACTTTATGTGGCCGCCTTATAGACAAGAACGCATTTGGCCACCTCAGAGCTGGGCAGGAGGTTGGAGCTTAGTATAATGAACCGAACGCCATTGAGAGAACCTTCCCATAGCCTCCTGCAGCATCGTTAGAGTGGTGACTTCAATCTGCTCCTCTCTTTAATCATTAATACAAATTATCGTTATACTTATTGGAAACTCATCAGTACTGTGACATTAGCCCCATTTTATTCTTTTACTGTTTATTCCGTCTTCTCTATGTCACATAGTTCTATAGAGGACTGTAGCTTTGGTTGTTTTTAATGCCTTTTCTCTTAGTTCAGCTGCTTTGTGCAACAGAGTTTTACTACAAGATAAAGTTTTTCTGTTCCATTTGTTCTGTTCTGTCACAAGGCTAACTGTTAGCTGCTAACTGTACCAGAGTAAATCAGGTACTTATAATTTTGCACCTGTGTAGTTTTGCAGAGACCTCTTTCAGCCACAAAACTGATCCATCAGCATCTGGACGTTTTGTGTACTGTCGTCGATATGACGAATTAGCAGGCAACTGCTAAGGAGACGCTTTTATGCTCAGAACGTTTGATGTAAAATGATGCTTTAGATTCTAATCATATATGAAAATGTGTCTCTGAAGCAACAATAAATACAACAAAACATTACAAACAAATACATTAAGCATATCAGTAAGTTAACATTACATGGGTATTTCAATTTCCAATGAGTCTACTTGGCTTTGATCAACTGTAGGGTAAAAACTGAAAGGCTTTGATTACTCAAACCTGTACATTGACAAAAGATTTCCTAAAACACAATAGGATGAATGCGACTAGAGTAACAACACTTCATCAGAATAAACATGAATAATTAAAATCCAATAACACTAAGTTAGTAACCTAATAATCTAGATGTTGCATTTAGAATTGAGCAAAAAAAAAAAAATAGTGCAATTTAGCACTCATTAGCAGCTTAAGGGCTTAATTTACACTGACCTTTTTGACCAGGTCCAACTGAACATCCCCTGGAGGCTCAGGGAGAACCTTGCTGTTCCGGCACCCCATCACATCACCTTGGGCTGCTGCCCAGCCAGCCACACAGGCCACCAGGAGTCCTGCCTCATCACCGCGACAGATGAATCAAGGGACCGAGGACGTCCAACATCCAGGCTGAACCCACGCTAAGACGTTCAGGAATCAGGCAGATTACTCCCATCCAAGACCAGAGGCGCTGGCATCAGCAGCTACGTTTCATGAATAGACACCTGAATTTCAGCCAGAAAGTCATGAATACATGGTGCACTGTGAGTTTCTTTGTGGGGATGTTCTTATTTTTTTAAGTCTCAGCTCCCCTGTTGCTCAGTCTGCTGGCAGGGAGACCCCTTCAGGAACCTACCAGGCTCCTATTAAAGAGGACTGCATTAGAACAATCACTATGGACATCAACAGCACAGAAAGTCCAATTTAAAAGTAATTTGTTTGCCTTGGACAGACCACTTTTCTAAAATGTTATCCACAGTTCTCATTCCAAACTTTCAGGGGAAATCCAGTCATCAATTGTCCTCTGGTCCAATAGGAAAAGCTTCAAAATCAGCAACAGTCTAGCCACAAACAGCCAACCGTGGAGAATCTTTGGCGGTGGAGGAGTGAAGCTGCAAATTCAAAATGATTCCAAGTTTATCAAACAGTGACAGCAGAACCATCAACCAATATCATCAACAGAACATTAGTTTGGGGTAATTTTCCCCTGGCTGTCTCAAACAGAGGTGCAGTTTATGGCTGGGCGATATGGCTTAAAAATCTAATCTCTTATTTTTTCCAACCAAATCTGATTAATCTTTTCTTCTTGCTCCCTTAAGTTTCACATAAAATTGGCAAATGAAATAAATAATTTCAAAAACTAGCTTTAGTTTTCGTTCATCCCCTTTGGGACATTACCTTCGTTCAAAAGGAGGTGAAATCAAACTGTGAAACAAGTTGGTAAAAGACTCATGATATTCCAGAAAATTTATTCAAAACTCGATTAATGGATTTTATTGATTAATTACCCAGCCCTAGTTCAGCACAACTTAAAAACATGCAATAAATGCATGTCGTAGGACATTTAAGACAAAAAAATGTTTAAAGGGTATCAGTGCGCTAATTGTAAACAAGCAGAATTGGATGATTCTTTTTTTTTTTTTACTGGCAAATATGAACTTTTCCCCCTCAATTTGGTTTTAAAAAAATAAGTATTTTACCTCTGATGATAAATATATTACTTTACAGCAGAATTTTTGTTAATTTTATGTTTTAGGATCAAACTTTCATGTATGTTTTTAAAATGTGTTTTTGTCTCATGGGCTCAACCCCTCCCCCATAACTCCTCACTCTGCAATGGATTAACTCAAACCAGCCCTCCATCCTAAAGTTCCAACATTTTCAAGTCTTCCTAGTAATAATCTAAATAGATTTCTCAGGTAATCTGTCAATGCTGGTCTCAGAGAATACTCATATAGGTTGATCAAAGTCATTTTAAAACAGCATTGCATACTGACCCATGTGAACTAGCTACTTAAACAAGAGTTAAATTAAAATTTAAAACTCACCAGAAAACTTACTATTTGTTGAAGCATTTAAAATCTCTATTACGAATTTTCTTTAAATTCCATTTAGTTGTGTAAATCACTTAGAATAATCAATCCTATTAAGTCAAACAACTAATAAATATGTGATCTGTAAGCTGGAGGGCCATTTTTCATTAAATGGATGGTGTATAAACATACATCTTACTTTGGAGTTGCACTTTTTAAACCAAATTTAACGTTATAAATCCAGTGTTTATGTTTTCATAAATACTGATAGTTGTTTTTAATATATTTTCACATACTGGAGGTGTTACTTCATACAAAATCCTTCAAATTTATTTTGGCCAATAAATACTGGAGAAAAAAAAACTGAAAAGAAATTTTGACTCTGTTACATTTTTTATGCTCAAACTGCTACATAAATAATAATTAATTTAAGTTTATATTACATTTTTCTAACTTCAAATTCAATATTATTTTAGATAGTGGGCAAATAAATTGTTTTCTGACACATAAACATAATAAGAATCATCTTGGCAATGATCACCTACCACCATTGCATTTGTTAACTGCAGTTAGTTATAATAAAGGGTTCATTAAAATGAACAAAGGCGTACATTTAATCATATCGGATCAAAAACATCATTCTAAACAGATAAGAATAATTGTATGCATTAAAAAATGTTTTGGAATCGATAATTAAAAGTAGAAGAAACATGTTGGAAAATTGTTTCACAGCGTATCTGTTTTCTTTCTTCTTCTTTTAAACATAGGCCCGTTACATTAGTTTTTTTGTTTTTTGTTTTTACGCTGTCAAAACTAACCAGACTCTTCCATTTCGGCAGGATGTAGCAGAGTGTCAGAGTTCAAACGCCAACAACCAACAACGCCGTGATTAAAAATAAAAAAAGTAACTTTAAAAACTAACGGCTAAACTTACCGGATAAGTGTGTGACCATGCTAATTAGCCTGTTAGCAGCAGCTGCTGCCAAATCCAGCCTCCTCACCCCACTCTCACTCAGCTGGGCTCTCCATTTTCACCCCACACTTTCCCAACTTCAGCCCCCCGTTAAAAACACTCAAAATCCCGTCGCCGACTTCGATGGCAACTTGTCAACAGAGTATTTGTTGTAAGCAGGCTGATTAATACGTGTTTGAGAGTATTAATGAAGTTCCCAAACTTTTCTAGTCGTTTTTTGCTCCTGGAAGCTGTTTTTCAATCCAAGGAGGACCACCTTCTCAGGACAAGAAAACCGGAAAGAGAAGACAATGTCTTTCCGGTGAAGCCCCTTCAAAATAAAACACGTTCAAACTATCAGAAAGAATTTGTATCTTAATGGAGTTTATAAATTATATATATCCAAGTAGATGTTAGGCTCAAGTAGAAAAGAATTCTGTAATTTTCCACTTATAAACAATATAAACAAATCTAAAAAAAAAAAAAAAACAACAATGCCAGCCAATAATCACGGTTAATGCAAAATTAAATGAATGTTTTTTAAATATTTTATTTTCTCCTTTTGTTTTAACTCTTGATTAGACCAGGTCCAATTAATACATATTATTAAAATGTAAGTAAAAATGTAAGTGCTTCTAGTCAATTAATAAAAAGGATTTTACATAATATGAGTAAAAACTTACCAATTTCAACTGAAAGGTTATTATATGAGGCATTAAGTGTATAAATACCACATTTATTTTGATTCCGCATTTAAACACCATAGCATTTGTTCTAAATTATTTACCTTAGATTATTCTAGAAAATAGCACAAAATGAATGTGGGTTTACATCTGGTTCATAAGTAGTTTCTATCCTTGCCCTGTGATGGACTGTCAAACAAAATAGTTAAAATATCTTATAACTAAGGTAAAAAACAGTTTGGAATAAAAAACTGAGCAAAAACAAAACAACACACATGTATTACCTTTATTTGACAAGAAACAGGGCCTATATTTTACAAATATGAGATCAGATGTATCACTGTAAATGCCTCCTTTTTATAACATTAAACTGTTCCCTATAAACGGAAAGAAAAACAACCACTAAACACATACGTCTGCTTAATTATCATTATAATGTGCAAAACCAAGTAACCGATCATTTCTAAAGCAAACACAGTGGGTCAAATGATATTCCTAATCATTGAGATCAAGATTCACTTAAACCTAACCAGACAGCAACATATTTAATATAAATCTTGTTATTCAGTGGGATACAATGGGTTGAAGAAGGGGCATATTTTATTTTAGTATAAGATTGCTTTTTCTGTATGTCCTCTACTGCACATACACATCTGCACATACAATGACTGGATAAGTTACATCTGAGTAAACTTTAGAGTTTTTCTATATTAAAAAAAACTGCCCCAGGATGAGATATATATCTTATCCTATGGGGCAGTTTTTCTGCAAAGGGGACTAGAAAACTCACACATGTTAAGGGGAGAATGAAGGGCGTTGTGCATCATGAGATATTAAGCCAAAACCTTCGTCCATCAGTGAGACTATCTAAGATGGAACGAGGCTGGGTCTTCCAGCATGACATCTTAAGCACACCACTCTGTTCATACAGGACAGACATGGCACCGTAAAAAAAAAAAAAAAAAACATTTCAAGGCTCTGCAGCAGCTTAGCTAGGCTCAACACCTAAACCCCATAGAAAATCTGTGGAGGGAAAGCCTCCGTGGCCCAATAACAGCCTCAAAACATCACTGCTTTAAAGGAGATCTGTATGACTAGGCCAAAATATCCGACAAAGTGTGATCAAACCTGATGAAGACTGGGAACATTTACCCTCTGTCTTTGACAACAAAGGTTATCCTACAAAGTAATGAGCCGAACTTCTGTTTTATTATTTTCTCTGATAATTTGCAAATAAACTCTCACAGTATGTCTTTTTTCTTTTTTGGTTTTCCTCATTTTATCTCTCGTAGTTGAATTGTACCTATGATAAAGAATTAAATTCTTTCCAAGTAGGAAAGCTTACCCCAAAAAAGAAAAGATTAGCAGTAAGATTACCACAAAGAGTTTAAGAGCAAAAGAATAAAAGGTTTTAGCCTTCTTAACCTAAGAATATTGATGATTCACTGAGCAAACATTGAACTATACTCACTCTGACAGACTTGTCTCAAATTAAATAAATAAAGAGACAATGAGCAGAATAATACAGCAGACAAAGGGTGAGATTAACTGTAGGCTGGAAAGAGGAAACAAATGAATCACTATAGCTTCTCATAGCAGGCAGTCTAAGCATTCATATACTCTTCCTTCAAAAAATACAGTCACACTATCAACCATCATTTATTACCTCAACCAAACCTTGAGACAAACGATCAGTTCAGAATTATCTGTATTTAATTAGATACTCAGGATAAATCTGCTGTTTCTCAAATATCACAAATATGCTGGGGTTGCTGACGGAATTGACGCAGCTGTCATAGAGAGCTTTGCTTCCTGCTTTCTGTGGTGGTCGGACGTAGCTGCCGCTTCCAGTTGTGTATTCACCTACCAGGACCAGTGCAACAAACATGGTCTTGGTTCGACTCCCTCCAGCCTTGGAATATCTGTCTGAGTAGGATGCATCTTTGGCAAAGTAGCTTCCTAGAACAAAGATAGTGAGCTTTAAGAATGATTAGAGTTATTCTAATTTTAGCTGCTTTTGATAGAGACACTTGCATTATCTACAGTACCTTTGCCATAGGCTGTTCCATGGACGCCACACATCCTCCAGTCAAAGTTTTGCTCACATATTGCATCAACAATTGTGTCCTCTGTCCCGTAGAACAAGTATTGCTGATTAACAAGTCCCCCTCCATTCCTCTTCTGCATCTGCTCCTTCTGCCTGAAAATACAGCACACAATGTAAAAACATGTGGTTAATTAGTTTTTACCACACAGAGAATCAATTCATATTCATCTGCATGCAGTTAGTTTACCATTGAAAGACTTTCCACAGAGATGGATTCTGAATCCTCTCGATGCTTGCAATGATACCATTAGGCATGGTGCGCTTGAACAATGTCTCAATCATATTGTAATCTTTTGCTCCTTTGGACAGAAGTAGGAGCTGGAAAAGGAGAGTCAAGTGTTGCTATATTAAATGTTGTTCAAAGCTATTATCAGAAAAAGATCAATTTAATGCTATATAGATAATTAAATACAGATACTTTATATCCTAGATCTGGAAGAGCACTTTTGTCCCAATGGGATGGGACATCTTCCAAGACAAAGGAGCTAGAGGTGTGTGATGCCCCACTACAGAAAAGATGCATATATTAGGCATCATTTCAGTGAAACTCCAATATGAAAAATAATCATAATCCATGTCTCTGGTGGATACCTCTTGAGCTTCTGCTCCACATCATGAGCAGACACAAAGCAAGGCCTCCGTCGGACCTCCCTCTTAGTCTGGTACTGTAAATTCTGCTGATACATTTGCTGGTTTCCTACTGCATCCTTAAAGTGGAAAATATACTTTTGGTTTCCAGCCTGGAAAGGGATCTCTGCATCTCCATCTGCCAGGTACACATTTTCCAGGGTTTTAGAAGTGATTGATGCATCTGCTGAACCCTAATAACAAAAACAACACACAAGAAAGAAAACAATCAACAGATGTGTCCAAAGTAATCATGTTCTTTACTCAAGTAGGAGGTAAAAAAACCTGGATTAAAGAAACGACTGACAGATTTAACTCCTTTACTTGAGTAAAAATGTACCGGTTCTAGATCGTACACGAGTATGAAAGTTTTCCTTTTGAATGACACACAACCTAAAGGCTAAGGGTTAAATTTTCTCTTTTGCTCAATGCACTGGAGTAAAGACCATAAGAAAATAATGATTTAGTCTAGTTTTGATCTAAATAAAAATTTCAGATAGGACAATACAGAAGTATTGCATCAGCAGTTGAATACTTTAGGAGTTCTGGTATTCAGAACATAAAAGTTATACAGTAGCAGCCATTAAAAATGGCCCTTCCCAGTTAAACGCCAACCGAATGGCAGCCCCCTTCTCTGCGACCCCTAGCAAAAATCCTCTCCAACTTCCAGCCACTGGCCTTTTCCTGGGCGTGCATTTCTTTACTCTAATTTCACCCTTTCACTGAATTACAGGGTCTGACCAGGAGATTAAGCTCCTCTTAATGCCCACAAATCATGACAGAAAGAATATTTTAGTGCAAAGATTCTTGTTTAAAGTAATAGGGAAGCGGCTGTTCTAACGGTTCCAAATTTTTCAGAGTGGTGCCCGAATTTACATGAGTGAATAAAGTAAATGTGATTGGTAGATTATCAAGGAGGCGGGATTGTTGTGGTGGAAGGTTTGCAAGCAGGTTTGGTTGTAGCCAGTGTCTCTGGAAGCATCTAACCAGTCAGCAACTGCTAGTAGGTTCCCAATGGGAAATTACATTGGGAACAAGAAGCACTTAGCAACGACACTGTCAAGGAACGCTATGGACAGCGGAAACATGCAAGAGGAGGAGAGTTTTGTGTTGGAGATTGTGGATGAGTCTCCTCTGACATAGATTTTTTATTTAGAGGAGGAAGATGGGGATGAGGTTGTTGTGGAAGAGGATGCCAGGGCAGCAGAAGCTTGGTTTGGTGTAGAAGGCTTACAGCCGTACATGTTTGAGCCCTTGTCTCACCACGCTGCCAGTTCTGTTAGCTCTACGCCTGCTGAAGACACAGACGTCCATCCCCGTGAACATGGGGACTCAATGGTAAAGTAAATTATTCTCATTTCTTATTTCAACCTTTGTGTATATTAGCCGCGACATATGAATCAAGATACTATGACACTCGACACATGATTGACAGATGATTGTTGATATATGATTGGCCGAATTTAGATGTACAAGCTGATGTATAACTAACTGGCCTGCATAAAATAATGGAAAAAAATAACACAGATTTTAAGACAGGATTTTCTAACTTTTGGGACAATATGGTCTGATAAAGTGTATATTTATATACATGTTTAAGCCAGAATTATATGACATTTAAATATGATTTCCCTATGACTTTAAAAGGGAATTGTAGAGGACCAGCCAAGGGCCCCATCAAGGAAAGTGGGGAAATTTTCAATGAATAATACTACTGTACATGTAGGGTTAGCATTGAAAAAAGATCTTAAAACATATCCAACTGCAAATTTAAATCTGGTAAAAGGGAATGCCTTGCATCACAGAATATGAGCCATAATCTACCGTTTTTTAGTGCCCTGTCTTCATCCATGTTGCCATCAGTGTTTTTCCAATAATAAACATTTTAGACAATTGGACAGATTCTCTTTTCTCTTCATTCCCCTGCTTTGTTGTAATTGTTATGTCATAAGGTAATCAGTATGTATCAGTATTCAGTATGTATCAGTTTTGGTTAATATATTTGTTCTCTTCAGAAATCTACAATCAAGATTATATGGTTTCCCCAAAAAAACATCAGTAGTCTATGACCGACAAAATAAAAGCTATTAATGTCAGAAAGAACTTAAATGTCTTAAGTAAGGCTGCAGTTTTAAATTTGCCACATAAATAAAGTTGAATGTGTCATTAGTTAAATGAAAAAAAAAAATTTCTACTTAGTCTGAATCTTCCAAACAACTGTTAAGGAATTAGGATTTTTATGACATGTAACTATTACTGTAAATTTTGTTCCATTTTAGCTTTTCAAAAATCAAATCATTAAATTAATTAAATAATGGCTGTTGCTTTTGTTGTTTAAATGATCCAAAATGGTCAACATTACCAAAAAACAGGAAAATGTAACATACATATCTCTGAATCCAAAAACCCTGTGAGACCATAAGTCCAACTTTGTCCAGGGGCTGATGTAGTTAAGAGAGGAGGTATGCCTCATTCTCTTTTAATAGACTTGCTCCTGTCTAAGCCTTTTCTATGGCAAACATTTTCACACATGGAGGTGCGTCAACAAGGGCTGCATTCCTCCTCTGGGTGTTTGGACATTGGTTGTTTGGAAGCCAAGACTTCTATCCAATGAAAGGACTGATTAGAATTAACTGAAACCAGTGAGATTAACACAGAGAGGGAGAAACTATGAGAAATGCAGCAAACTGAGACAGTAGTAAAATTAACTAACAGACCTGACCTTATTCTAGAATTGTTAGAAACTGACTCAACTTTAATAAAGAACTTCAATAACAATAGCATAGTAGGTCTGATATAGTGAAGAGGGCAACAATCTGATGGTGCTGGTCCAGGGAAACCCCTATCAAAGTGATCGAGGAAGCCATAAGGGACTAAAGGAGGTCCAGAAAGACTGAACAAGCTCCTCTTTGCAATCACATTTCCTTTAACCTTTCATGGATTGAGCACTCCTCTCATCAACTGAATACAGCTCAAAAATGGCTCTACTTTCTCAGGAAGTTAAAATGGATTGGTTTCTCTTCTTAGCTGCTTAGAGACATCTAGAGGCCAAACTGCAAGCGTCCAGTATGAAAGCTTCACAGCACAAGAGAGGTAGAACTTAAGGTGGGGAGGAGTCCAGAGAGGCACAGGGGATTGTGGGATACGGTCTACCAGATCTGGACTCCGTTAATGCATGACTCTAAAAAAAGGCCCACGTCTGAAGATGTTTTATTTTCTCCAAGTGTGTTTATTTTTTCTATATACCGGTAAGTCTTAAATTTCTCTGTGTGCTAAGCTTAAGTCTCCACCACATTTGATAATGGTTTAGCAATAACAATAAAGATTCTTGTTTTAATGACACAGTTCTTCACTAATACAGCTATTAAAACAGTATTAAGTATGTTTTAAACTTTTTCTTGGGAAGACCTATAATCATGGTATATTTAAGATACACATACAATGCTTCAATGCTTTAACCATTTTCCTTTTTTTCAGTGCAATTTATTTCTTCATTTTTAGAAATATCTTTCTTTACATTTAATAATGCACAGTAAATTTCGCAGTGATAAAGTAACACTTTAAGAGTGCATTTGGTCCCACTACGAATTAGTGTTAAATTAGAACTCTACATAGAGTATATTTCTTCAGTTGTTGTTGCAATAACTCTAAAAGTGTCAATGTACTTTGACACTGCATATTTAGCATTGTGAAATTTACTGTGTATTATGAAGGAATTTTTGGGTTAATTAACATTCATCAGTTTATATAAAGTTTTCCATCTTAAAAAGGTTCACACTTAGACTTAACTTCTTTTTTTTCTGAATATCTATGATTTTGAATTTGTGTAGCAACTTTAATATTTTTTCTCATTTCTACAATTAAACCCTGTAAAGATTGCTTTTTTGGATCATTCCATCTAATCTCAACAGGTGACAGCATCTAGGCTTCAATTAGGCAGAAAATATATATCTTAAAAATAAGTTCTATAGATAAAAGGTGGTAAATTGGACCATTTTTTGTTGCAATTTTTAGATTTGCAATATTTCAAAACAAGATTTTATCAACTCACTTGTCCATACTCCACCCATTTCCCATCATTTTCCTTCCAGTACCACAACCACTCTGTGGTTAAAATGTAGTATGGGGGCTTAGAGACAGAGGAGGCTGTGGACAGGCGCCGAACTGGAGATCCTCCGTATGTCATTCTTATGAAGTCCACATAAGGCTCACTGTTTGACGCAGCGCTAGAAAAGTATTTCTCTTTTAGCTTCACTGAACCTGAGCACATATCTGTGTTGTTCAATTAAATAGGAAGTTACTGAGTCATTTGTACCTTCGCGAAGGAAAAAACCATGACAATACGGATGTTGTTGCAGGTGTATCTTTGCAGCTCGTATCACATGATGGGTCACAGAATGCTTTCTCTACTTCCTCCATGTTAACCAAGTCCTTCCAGGTCTTGCCATCCTTGTCTAAAACCTGCCATCTGTAAGGAAGGGGCCAGTGGACACGACCGCATTTCTCTGTGACAGAATTCACAAGAGAAAACCGTACAGGATGAGCCAAATTGAAAAAGTCAGTGTGAATACCAGCTCTGTTAGCAGCTAATACCTTTGAATTTGCAGTTTCTGCGAATAAAGAAGAGGCAGATCTCGTTTCGCTCTGCATCAGTTATTGGTTTAGAGGAGGTGACGGATTTAGTCGGAGATGCAGGTTTGTTTTGAGGAGGCTGATGGACAGGCTGCTGTGGGCTGGTTCTCGCCACCGGAAGCACTACAGGAAACATATTCATTCATTCATTCATTCTACATATCACATCTTTATAAAGAAAAAAAATTACAACAATAATTAATCACCTGGAACAGCAGTTGGCTTCTCAAGTTGACCAATGATGATGTATTTATTCCTATAGATCTTGTAAAGGTTTTGAATATTCTCCTCACTGTATCCTTTGAAAAGCTTCATCGCTTGTTCATCAAAATTATGTTGCCTCTTACACGAGGATCCAAACTTACAGTCTCCTTGTAAGAAATGCAGGCAGATGTGGAGCTTTTTGCAGCCACTGGCAAATTTGCAGGAGCCAAACTGACCATCGCCCTTGTTGTAGTGTGGACATACCTGAAAGAAAATGGATCTTCACATCAAATCTTAAAATAAGAAAAGTTAAACGTCCATCATGGGACTCGAGTCTGCAAGTCCTACCTCAGGAAGGAGGGAAGGATCATTTTGCAGCAAAAGTTGCACCAACTGTTTATCTGTTAACTTCTGAAGACCATATCTCTTTAAAAGTCGAGCGTTGTGTCGAAAAGCCAGACTGTGTGGGTTTTTACACTTGGCACTAAAGAAAACATGCAAAGGTTATTTTTGGTTGTAATTTATAAGTACATTTTCATTATTCTTCAAAACCAAATTGCAATACATTTCTACTGCAGTGTTTAAACTGAGTTTGGCTAAAATGTGTTCAGACATATAATGCATCCTTTAATGCAAAATTGCACTTTAAATATAGCCATTTTAAAATTTGTTTTAGTCTTAAAGTCACAAATTAAACCCAGTTAAAGAATAAAATACAATTTTACAGTAAACAAAAAACCATGTAATAGTATCCGAGAAAAACTCTAGATGATAGCTTCATAGATATGTACAATTCTAGCTTTAATATATTTCCCCAAGATTTTATGTGATAAATTAACTCACAATAGTGCATATTTATGAGGTGGGTGGGTGGTGGTGGGGAATACACATTTGTTTTTACTGTTTAAATCCCAACTGTGGTGCTAAAAAAGATTTAAATAAAAAGAACTTAGCAACCGTGGGACAAGCTGGGGGTGGCATCAGACTGCACAGCAGCTTTTCATTAGCGGGGAGAGGGAAGCTATCACCATCCAGCATCATTATGACCCTAAAGACCCATTCATGAGATGAAACTGGATAGTTAAAAAATATATTCCACAGGCATAGTTTAAAATGTTGTAACCTAGCGTAAAAAAACACAATTAGGGTGAAAATAGCCCCAGTCTGGTGGAGTGATACAGCAGGCCTACTGCAAATACATTCATGCAGATTTTTTCACCAAGTCTTGACTCAGAGAGGCTGGGCAAAAATACAGTTTATATATTGAGGTCATAGAAAAGCATTTATAACATATTTTTTACTTTACATTAATATTGTGCTCAACTGTGTGCTTAATGGTCATTAAAAAGCGAAAACTAGAACGCTTTGTAATAACTAAAGCGTCAGGGTTTTTGAATACTGTCCAATTCTTCAGGAATTACTGGTTATACATGTACTTCATTTTAAACTGCGGACATTGTATTTCTGTTCCAATAACCAAACACCCTGTGGCCTTTTAATCCTAATAGTTATTTTCTGTGAGCCTCAAGAGAAATTTAAAGGTTGAGGCCCCAGTCCAACTTGTCAGGGCCCCTCCCGCTGCTGACCTTGGAGTAAAGACTTTACGTGATGCAGGGAGAGGTAACTAAGACCAGGAAAACTAAAAACATAAATATGACCAATTAGAAGATGCCATAAAAGGGCGTGACAATGAAAACTGTTCCAAGACTTAGGAGTACATGTAAAACAGATTTACGAGTATATAGCTCTGAAGACAGTAATCTTAAATGTTCAATTGAATTCAGTTTATTTATATAGCGCCAATTCAGAAAACATGCCATCTCAAGGCACTTTACAGTTCACCGGATCATACAGTCAAATTGATTCAAAGTTTTCTATCTAAGGAAAACCAGTTGATTGTATCAACCCATTGACTCAAATGCAATCCCTCACACATGCTTGTAGCGACAGTGGAGAGGAAAAACTCCCTTTTAACAGGAAGAAACTTCCAGCAGAACCAGAGAGAAACTCTTCAAAAAGTCCATTATGGTGTAAGTGATCGCACACTTGTTTGGCAACTACTTTCTCAAGAATTTTAGATAAGAAAGGAAGACTGAATATAGGTCTATAATTGGTCATCTGGGTCAAGAGACAGTTTCTTAAGCAAAGGTTTAATTACAGCAACCTTAAAAGCCGTTGGTACATATCCATTTAACAGGAATAGATTAATCACATCTAAAATTAAGGAGGAGATCAAAGTGAATAGAATGTTCATCACTGCCATCTTCTGGAATAAATACAAAAAATAACTTGCCTGAAACAAAATAATGATTTTTAGATTTCTTAGAGGTAGTGTCCATCTTTGTTTATGAAGAGTTAAATGTGTAGGTAGGTAGACTCGTGGTTGAGAGTGAATAACAATATTTTATTTTAAAAGTGGGGCTAGAAAACTTGCTTTGTTGTTGTTGTTTTTTAAGTTCGTTGCAAAGCTTTTCTTATTAATCTCTCAAACTGTGTTTAATGACCACAGTACGTTTCCTTCAACTGTTTTTGCTCTAGAAGGGGGTGGACCTTCAGAGAAAAAAAATTTAAAAATAGAAAGTTTTAAAGTTAATGATTAACAACTGTTACTTCTATTCAACATTGATACAAAACATTTAAAAGTGCATGTATATTTATCAAAGTGGACAAAAACTGTTTAATCAACTTACCCGAAAGTGCAGTTTCCAACTACAAGATACCTACACAGGTGTAAGCAATCACACTGGGCGCATTCTCCAGCTTTTTTCTGACAAAGCCTCAAACTGGTTTTAGCAACAACCAGACTATCGGGCCTGATCATATTACCGCTGGCGGCTGGCTGCTTTCCTTCTCGAATCGCTATTTTACCATCGTCGAAAAGAACTGAGCGCAGGTCTGTCACCTCAAAGCCGAAATTGCTCTGAGCGAGTTCTAGCAGCTGTTCGAAAGCCAAACATCCGTAGTTGTCACACAGGACGCTGATAACTAACTCTGTGGAAGCCATAATAAAATGCGTCTGTGCTGAACTGCTGGAACAGCTGATCTGACCTCATTAGAAGACTAAAAACAATACGCCTTCTTTTATGAGGAAAACGAAACTAATGACGGAGAACGTTTTGATTTGTCACGTAGCGAATAAAACATTTACCGTTGTTTGTTGTTGTTTTTTGTCCCTACACTAAAAAATATGATAAATTCTAACGTTTATTTTTGCGAACAGGAGACTTTAACCTAGGTAAAATCAGTGTGCATTCTAAAAATAAATAAAAAATACACACACACACACACACACACACACACATATATATATATATATAGCTCAAAACTTTTATATGACAAATAATAATATGACGATGATTTTTAAATCGGAGGGGAAAAAAGTCAGTGATTTTCCAAAATTAGTGGGGGTTTTTAAACGGGCCACCAGGGGGTGACAGAGTGGCTCAGAATTATTTTTTTTTTTCTTAAGCACACAGTTGAGAACAAAATTAAGGTAAAGGAAAAAATATGTTTTTAATGCTTTTCTATAACCTCAATATATAAACTGTATTTTCCCAGATAGCTCCAAAAAAGAAAAAATTTTTGTATTAATTACAACATCAAACTCCACTTGATGATATTGAAATTACACACTTAGGGGATTTAAAATTGGAAATTGGCTCTCTTTACCTAATTATTTATGAAAGGACTATTTCCCACCTTGGTTAAAAGGGAACTGAATTGTATTTTTCCTTTTGCTGCAAACATATTTTCTGAATGTGGCTTTTTCAAGTTTAAGGTACTAAAATTAGACCAGAGCATGCATACGCTTGGGCAATGATATACAAGTGGCACTGAGACATTTAACCCAGCCAGCCCTCCCTTTATGGACCCACGAACATTCTTGAGAGGCAAATTCCAGTGGATTGTTTTTTAACTTTTTTGGAATAGTTCTGTTATGGGAATGTAAAGTTACATCTTTTTAAAAAGGGGGCATAAAACACAGAGTGGATTGCCAACACTAGCAGATGTCATGCATCTCAAACCATAGCTGATTGTGGAAACTTAACTCAGGCTCCAAGCATCTGTAATGAATATATTTTATACTGAATTTATTTTAATAATTTACCCTAGGTCAGCTTTTGTACTGGGGTGACTGCACCACAGACTTCTGGGTGCTCTCCACTCTGACCCCTCCAGTTCTGATGCTGGTCCTCGTTGGGGGAAGCACGTGTTGGTCTGGTCGGACAACACTACAGTGGTCTTAAGTATCAATCACTAAAGGTGATCCAGGGATTTCTGTCCGTGGCCCACTGGCTCCTGGTTTGGGCAGCACCCTGCCTTGCCAGCCTCAGGGTTGCCTACTTCCCAGGCCTGCAGAACCACCCCACAGACTTCCTCTCTCGTATGTTGCCTCTTCCGAGAGAGTGATAGCTCCACCCAGAGCAGGTGGATCACATCTGGGTGACATTTAGCAGATTGGGGAGGATCTCTTTTCCTCCAGGGAAATGACCCACTTTTCACCCTGTCGGACGATTCTTGTACTCTTGAGTGATTCCCCAGACCCTCCTGCGGGTTCTCTAGGTGGGAAACAGGCTACTGCTGGTAGCCCGTTTCTGGTCTGCTAGGACTCTGTTTCCAGTTCTCCGCAAGCTCCAATTCAGCTCACTGATGCACCTCCCATCCAGGTTGGACCTGGATGGGTGGAGTAGTTCTGGCTTAGGCCTCTGCAGGGCTCAACCTGGACTTAGGGTGTGTAAGCCGTACCATGGTTTGTGCATGGGCACCTTCTACCTGGGCTGTCTATTCTGCCAGGTGGGAAGCGTTCGCTGACTGGTGTGGTGACAGGGGGCTGGATACCAAGCATTGTCCCATTCCGCCTTTGCTGAACTTCCTTAAAGGGTTGCTGGACTAAGGACCGCCCCCTTCCCCTTTGAAAGTGTACGTGCCATTTCCCATTGTCACGTTGTCAACTGTTGCTCTTTTGGAAAGTGTAGGGTCATAACGCTGTTCCTGAGGGGTGTCAGACAGTTGTATCCTCCAAAGTGCCCGGGGCTCCTACATGGGTTCTGCAGTTGGTGCTAGAGGCTCTTTTTATCCAGTGATGGTGAAAGAGAATATAATTCACTTTGAAAGAGAATATAATTCACTCGCCTAGCGTGGGCTAATGACCTCTCCCAGACCTCATCCTCTAGAAGGTGTCCTGCAACAACCATCTCGCTGTTGGCATATGTCATTCAGTGCATGCACCCCCTCTGATGATCAGTAGGGGTGAAACAAAGCTTAAGTTATGTATGTAGCTACTGGTCTATGAATCCCGGGTTACCACCAGAGCATTCGGGTCCCTCTGTATCACTGGTGTCATGAGAATATAGAGGAACTGAACTCCCCGTGTCTTTGGGTTATACAGGCTTACGTTGATCATGTAGTTCACAGTTGACATTGTTCATACTAATACTCAAAACTATGCAAGCACAAGAGTGATCATTTAGTGCTTGATGCACTGCCTCAGGAGTTTATTCGGGATTCATAGAACTGTAGTTATATATGTTACTTGTTTTGTCTCTGCTCTGTTCAGATTCAGAGACCTTGATTTCTAAATAAGATGCAGCAATTGCTTTCATCTGACACCAGGTCTTTGGATCACTGGGCAACAGTGCAGTTCCTAAACTCTTCTAAGCCCAAGTAAGAGACTCCTGATGTCTCTGGTACAGGCCTGGCTTGACACAATGAATGCATCATTTATAGCCTAAGTATCTGTCCTTGAGGTTGCTGTTGGTGCACTGACTCTAGCCTTATTTAACTCCCTGTGAAGCTGCCACATCTCTTCAACATATTTCACTTGACAATCCTCTCAAGGCTGCTGTTCACTCCATTTTCTGTTAATATGCCTGGGTACAGAACTCTGGGAACAACCAGCTCCTTGAGCAATTACCTTTCTGGGATACCATCCTTGTAAAGGCTATTGATGACTGTCGTTTTGATATTTGTTTTCCATGATTGTGTACCTTCAGATTCAAATTATCTCTTGCATATTATTCCCTTTGAGACTTTAAACATCTTCTAGTCAGGAATCAAAATAATCCTCTAGTTTTTCTAAGAGGATACATGCAGGTTTCAGTTCCTCTGCAGTTACAATCATTTCTAGAGTTCTTTGTTGACTGTAAATTGATCTTTATAATACAATTCTAATTAACCATACACGGTATGGTGGATTTGGGCATTTTAAGACTGTACATCACCAAAGGCAAAGAAGTTTTCTGACTAATGTGTAGATGGAAAATTCACTAACTTTAATGGCTTAAGGAAGCAATATTTAACTATATAATCAGTTTCTCTTTCCTTGCAATATGAGATGTCTTGCTTTAAATAGAAATTAGATATTTTTAAAATTAGACTGTTTTTTCATTTTTTTTATACATAACTGAAAATGACCTACTTGAGAAAAGTATTGCATGACATCTATAACAGTCTACCCACTATAATGCAAACCTCTTTTATAAACAATCATTACAAGGGTGTAGGGGTCTGTAGAGTTTACCAATGCCCAAATATTTCCTGCAACTAAAAGCATCAAGGAGCATGAAATAAATTCAAATTTAGTTTTTAGAATAGTGATTTACTTGACAAAATTATTTTTATCCACTCAAACAAACTAGTGATGAACATGTGGCCACCAAAATTTTGTAAAAAAGAGCTAATAAGCAGAAAATACAAATGAACAAAACGGGTTTCAAGACAGATAATGACAAGATTAAACCAATAATTCAGACATTGGTAGTGGCTTACGGTAAGCATTAGCATTAAGTTAACCTATAAAACCATCAGCAGTTGAATCCAAAAGCTTATTTCAAATAAAACACAACTATCCATTGTTCCTATTTCACCCAAGCAGAGCACCAAGCATGAGATGGAAAGCTGGGAAGGATGTCACCAATTTTGGTTCGGTGGAGTGAAGGCCTTCACCTGGTCCAGTTTTGTGCAGGCCCTGTCTTCAGTCCAGTCCGTTCACCCAAGAGCAGCTCTTGAAGAGTTTTGGATTAATCCGATGCTATAATAGGGGCAAACTTTGCCGCCGCCTTCAAGCAGCAGCTCCTCTGTGCTGCTATCAGTCTCAGGTAGTCAGGGCTCTGGCGGCTTCTAACGGCTCCTTCGGGGAACAGCAATTGTGGCCGCGTTGTTCGGCGGTTAGATTTAAGTTAGCAGAGCTGGATTCGCTCTTCTTTTTCTCTGCTACAGCAGGCTTCAGGGAACACTGCATTCAACAAGGTTTGAATCGCAGAAAGAATTAAAAACACTGCGTTCAGCTCCATCTGTATTGCAGGAAAAAGGCAGTCTGACTTTGTCCTGTGAGCGCCGACTTCTCAAGAGGTGTTCCGGTTGCTACTTTAATGCTTTACTGTCTAGCCTTACGCAGCCGAGGTGGCTACCGGCAAGACAGAAAGTTGAAAAAGGACGCTGCTTCTTTTAAAACCTCCACTGGAAGTGTGTGTCTTCAGAGGGGAGTAGAACATCAATGACACATTGTTTTTGTTGTGTGTTATGTCTAGGACACTTGCAGAAAAATGTGCATGAGAATGACCAAAATCTAATTGAAATACTGTTGGTGGCTGCAAAAAGAACAAAAAACAAAAAAACAACCTAGCTTAAGACTGAGATAGCAACATATGGTTAATTGCTGGTCACCATAGAAAATATCTTAAAAATGGAAGACTCAATTATTAGCCAAGATGAAAGAAGAAATATTCACACAAGACTGGGAAAAACAGATGTATAAAACAAAAAAAGTGCTACAGTCAAGTCAGAAAGATGAAAAATTAACTCCCACAGGCTGTGCTGTTTGTCCATTTCAATTCCACATTATTTTCAATTGTTGTACACCTGTTTTATTTATTTTTGTTTGTTATCATTTTAACTATCTGGTTTGTGATCCACACTCAATCCCACTAAATTGCAATATTTGGCAATAAAGAGCAAAAAAAAGAAAAAAATGTGAAATATGTTCATATTCACCAAAATACCCAGCAAAATGTTCCCTTATGTGCACCGTTGCTTTAAGCTAAAAAGCATTACA